TCTGTCTGTCTGTCTGTCTGTCTGTGTCTGTCTGTCTATCTGCATATTATATTAGATTAGTTTAATACTTTACATATAAACATCATAAAGAGCAGAAAAAATACCAGAATGATGTAAAAAATAAAAATAAAACTGCCTTTTTATGTCAAATAGTAATAACACAAACCAATTAGAATAGACTGTAAAGAGATAAAACACAGTTTGCTTAATTTTAGACTGTTTTGTGCTTGCTCTGGCTCTAGAATGAATCTTTCTAATAGTCGCGCTGGTGAAACTAACTTTCTCAGTTGGATGCACACCAACTTGCCTCTCGGCACAATGCCTTCCTCAGTGTATGATTCGAATTGTTATGTGTATTCGAAATGTTCTTTGGTCTTAAAATTATGACATATTTGTATCTTGGCTCACTTTGGTCCCAATTTCAGCAATTATATAATTGTTTGTGCACGTCACGTTCAAGAGCCAGCTGGGTCAGTTGGCATTTCTGTTTAGAGTTTGCATGTTCTCTCCGTGTTCACATGGGTTTCCTCTGGGTGCTCTGGTTTCCCCCACAGTCCAAAGACATGTGCTATAGGTAAACTGAATAAGCTAAATTGACCGGACCGCAGTGTATGTGTGTATATGTAAGAAGGTATGGGTGTTTCCCAGTGGTGGGTTGCGGCTGGAAGGGCATCCGCTGCTTAAAACAAATGCTAGATAAGTTAGCGGTTCATTCCGCTGTGGCGACCCCTGATTAACAAAGGGACTAAGCCGAAAAGAAAATGAATGAATAAATCATTTTTTGGATGACTCCAACATTTTTCAAAATATCTTATTTGTTTAGTAAAAGAAAGAAACTCGTAAAAGATTGGAACCACTTGAAAGTGAATAAAGTATGAGTACATTTAGACAGATGGCAGACTAACCCTTTAAGCTACTGCAGTTCTCCAGTCACATCATAGACTTCAGTGTATGTACTGTATGTTATTATGCATTATCTCATTTCTTTCCCAGCTGTTTATGTTCACACTCAAAACCAACTGCATGTATCTGAACTTTGTGTGTTTTTGATCTATTTTTGTGTGTATTTGACAGCGTACAAGCAATTAGACAAGCAATTAACAAAATTTCTTTGCTTCCACTCAAAAAAAAAAAAAAAAAAGGGGAGAAAAACATAGCATGGCAAAATATCTGATCTGTGGGGTATTTTTAGCTGAAGCTTCACAGACTCATTTTGGGCCATGAGACTTTACTTAATAGGTCACCTTTAAATAAATCTGTCATGAAAACACTGTGTAAATGTTTGCTTTGTTCACTTGTTTTTTCTCATGCTGTACTGAATGTCAAACAGCTTTCAAAATGTCTTCATGTGTTTGATTTGAAACCATAGATAATCAATTTTATTCCCTGTAGTCATCAGAACATGCCACACATGACAGCAGAGTCAACACAGGAGAGGATAGGCTCTAAATGCATATCAAACAGACGGCCATGCTCGTTGTTGTTCTAGCCATGGGAAAAGAGACACAAATGTCATGTGGAAGTGTAATAAGCATTTCCGCTGTGGCTTTGAATTCCAATTAGAGCATCTTTTTCAAAACGGCCTGAGGTGAAGGCTGAAGCCAAATGAAAAATACAACGCCAATATTTTTTCACTATTGATTTGATGCACTGAAATAGTTTGAAGCAAACAAGTCCTATTCTTTTTGAACATTTGCACCCTTCCCCCCCCTCCTCGCCTAACCCCCATTTATTTCCAGGATGGCCTTGGCTGACTCCAAATCAAGATTTTTGGCAGGCATGAGCAGGTTTTATTTCATTTTATATCAGCCGAATCAAGGTCTAGCATAATGATTCAATTTCTTTTACTGCCACATACATGGAGGTGTATCTTCAGGATAAATCAAGTTGTCTGTGCTTGGGAGTCTGCCTTTTGCGTTACTGAAAATGGAAACTGGAGATAAGTCCATAAATTCTAATATGTGCTGGCATGTATTCGTTTAATTTACACTATTGCGAATGAGACTTTTCTGATATTCCATTTGGCAATCAAAAAGCATGTCAACACATTTTTAACTTCATTTAACCTTACCTCAGCCTCAATTTTATGAACATTTCACTTGATATTGGAAACAGTTAGTTTTAGACGTATCTTTTCAAGAAGGTAAACCTGTATACTACATAATATGACTTAAAGTGCCATGAAAGCCCCCTCTTTCGGTTCATGTCCACCTCAGAATTTTTTCAAAAATTGCTTCATGATGGGCGTGGAGCTCGGCGAGCAGAGGGAAGAGTGGGCATGGCCAGCGGAGCAGGGGAAAAAAAGAGGAGTGAACAACTGTTGTCAGTTGGCTCACAAAATAAGACACAAACCGTGAGGATACGCATGATTTTATACTTTACAAAGAAAAAATTGAAAGAAAAAAACAGTAATTTAATATCTTGAGTACATATGTTATTCGTAATTTCATATACACATGACCACAATTTGTTATATCATTATTAAGAAGACTATGTAAAC